GTTTAAAGGTCCTCAGCAGAGTAACAAAGTAACTTTGACCAAGTTGAACAATATATATAAAGTAAATAAAAGAAAAAAACTTAGATCTGAGGGTGCTGAAACCAACTCAGTGGCTGAGCACTTATGCATGTGCAAGGCCCTAGGTTTGAAATCCAGAGCTCACAAACACACTCACACCTACACTGAATATAGTACAATCGACTGGATTTGGAGTCACAGAGACCAGAGTGTGTCTTCAAGGATGTTCCCAAGGAGGCTTACTTGAGGGAGAAGGAGCTAACCCGGATGTGAGTGGCACCATCCCACAGGCTGGGATTCCAGACTGTACAGAAAGGAGAAAGAGGGCTGAGTGCCAGCATTCATTTCTCTTCGTTTCCTGGCTGTGGACACAATATGACCAGCTGCTTCAGACTCCTGCTACCAGAGGTCCTGCCACAGAGCTCACGCCACTGTGCCTTCCCTGACATGATGAACTTTACCCTCAAACAATGAGGCAACATAAATCCTCCTTAAGTTGTTCTCATCAAGTATTTAAGTAAAGAAAGGGAACCCATATAAATGAGAAGGAAGAACTAAAAAATAGAGATGGGCGTGGTAAGTAGGTCAAGGCTGTAATTCCAGCGTTAGGAGGTTGAGACCAGGGGATTGCCATGAGTCTGAGGCCTCTCTGGGCTACATCATGAGATCCCATCTCAAAAAATAAAACAACAAGGAGCTAAAGAGACATCTCAATAATTAAAAGCAGTAGCTGCTTTTCCAGAGGACTCAGGTTCATTTCCCAACAACCTACACAGTGGCCTACAACCATCTTGGATTCCAGTTCCAAGGGACCTGATGCTCTCTTCTGGCCTCTGAGGACACTAGGCATGCCTGTGGTGCACAGACATACATACAGACAAGACATCCATGTGCATAAAAGTAAAGTTTTAAAAATTATTAAATAAGCTGGGCCGTGGTGGCACACACCTTTGATCCCAGCACTTAGGAGACAGAGGCAGGCAGATCTCAGTGAGTTCGAAGCCAACCTGATCTACAAAGCGAGTTCTAGGACAGCCAGGACTGTTACACAGAGAAACCCTGTCTCAAAAAAATTTATTAAATAAAATAAATAAAACAAGAAAGGAAGGAAGGAAAAGAAGAAAAGGAGGGAGAAAGAAAAAAAACTTCTATACCTTGGGAAGCTGAGTAATGAGTTTTAATGAGTTTAAACACACTATGGTTTGAATGATCTCCAAATTCATATAGTAATGTTTCTTAGAATGTAACAGGCATGGTGGTGCTTGCCTTTAATCCCAGCACTCTGGAGACAGAGGTAGGTGGATTTTTAAGTTCAAGGCCATCCTGGTCTACAAAGTGAGTTCCAGGACAGTCAAGGCTGTTGCACAGAGAAACCCTATCTTGAAAAGAGAGAGAGAGAGAGAGAGAGAGAAAGAGAGAGAGAGAGAGAGACAGAGAGAGAGAGAATGTAACCTTTGGATCATAAGGCCTCTGCATTTAGGAATGGAGTAATCCATCCATGCTTGTGTGGATTAATAGGTTATAGATAGAGTAGCTTTTCTTTGAAAGAACTCTCCCTGGCACGTTTTCTGGGTCTCACCACGTGATGCCCTGGGCCATGTCATGACCCAGCAGGATGGCTCTCACCAGTGCCAAGTAGATTCTGGCACTGTGCTCTTGGACTCCCATCATCCTTCAGAACTCTAAGCTAAATGACCCTCTGAAGGGAGGCTTACAAATTGCTCTGCTCTCTGGCGTTCAGTTATAGCAATAGAAAACAAACCATTAAAATTCACTGAGCAATATGTTTAAGATCTATGCAATTTACCATATGTAATTATACCATAAAGTCCTATGGTCACTCAATATAACTTCCCTGAAGGAACCCACAGCTTATGAAGGAAGCAGACTATAAAGAACTTCTTAGAAGTAAGGACTGCAATAAAGATTTTGAATACAGTACTCTGTTGGTGGAACACTCACTTTCAGCATCCAGAATGAAACCGCTGGTAGATGTGCATTCATGGTTACAAATAGAAAGTACACGGGCAGTTGCTATTTGAGTATAACAAACTCTCCCTACAAAACAAGTGAGCAGAGGATGTCCTTTGCATAACTTGTACCAGATTCTGGGTTTGATTCCTGGTACTGTCAAAGAAAGAAAAAGAGAAGGAAGAAAAAATAATGATGGGAGACATTTCTAAAGCTAGAAACACTTAGTGTTCAGGCACCCATGCTGCAGGCTTCCCCCTTGAGGCCACTGTTCAAAGCCCCAGCTGTCGAGTGAGGGATGGGGGCTGGTTCAATACTCTTGCCCTTTGCTGGGATTGCAAAGATCCGTATCAAGTCTAACTCTTAGCTATCTACCAGCTGGAAGGAAAGGCTGAAAGCAATCTCAAAGCTTCTGCCTCTCTGCCCACAACCAGCCAGCAGGTAAGAATTCATTAGCAACAAACTAACCACACTCAGAAATAAGGTAATATGTTCCTGGGTCATCAGCTTTATGTAGAGGAGCCAGGTTTGTATCTCAAGACAAGCTTGCTTCAAATTCTTGTTCTTTCCCGTTCAGCAAAACCAGAAACCAGAGCTGGGCATGACGATACATGCCTGTAATTTCACAGCTCCGAGGCTGAGACAGGAAGATTGATGGCTTCAAGTTGCAGGTCAACCTGGGTTACACACGAAGACCCTGCCTCCAAAACAGCAGAGAGAGCAGAGGACAACAGTTTCCCACACCATTATGCAGGGAACACCATCAAGCTATTCCTCCCCTGATACCTTTCGTCCTCACACAAGTCCGGGTCTTAGTTCCATGGCCTAGGTGCTCGGCACAGTGAGGGCATGCCCTCAGAGATGTGTGCTGTGTATTTGAGACGCCCGAAGGGAGGCTTCTGCAGAGGAGAGCAGGGACAATCCAGACAAAAGCGCCCACGGACAGCAAGGAAGGATGCAAACAAGAGAGGAAGGGGAAGAAGGTGGGCCAGATGACCAGGGAATCTTTTTTTCTCTGGATAAATAGGTCTTTTCTAGACAGTTTCTCTGAGGCCTGACACTGAAACCCTCAGAGGTCACAGGCCTGAGGCAAGTAAGTAACCTGCTATGTTTACACAAGCAAAGGTCAAAGATCAGGAATGTTGGGGCTGGGTTCAGTCAGTAAAGTGACTGCTGTGCAGGCATAGGGAACTGAGTTAGGATCCCCAGCACTCACACTAAAGCTGTGTACAGTGACTCAGCCATCTGTAACCTCTCAGTGCCTGGGAGAGGGGGACAGAGAGGGAAAGAGCCCTCGAAGTCATTGGCAACCCAGCCTAGCCAAATCAGTGAGCTCCAGGCTCAGTCAAAGACCCTAGTTCAAAACAGTAAGGTAGAGATAGCTCAAGGAGAACACCCAACATTGGGTAGCTGCCTTCACCTGCACTTAAAACACAGGTGCAGGGATACATAGGTATGCACACACGCACACACACATATATCCACATGAACCACACACACAAATCAAAGCACTGTTGTGTAACACTGGGTCTGATTTAGTATCAACAACTGTATGTATTTTGGGGAGTAACTTTTCTCTTCAGAGTCCTCACAGCTTGTAGGGATACTCAAGAGTTCAAAGGTGAGACAGGCCAACTAGGGATAGGGCAGGGTCAAGTTAGCCTAGGGAGGTGTGAGAGCCTCCCTTAAAAAGTGCCCCCCCATTCCCCCAGTGAGCCCCATTTCACTACCCAGCCATGATCCCCTAGGTCCACTCAGGAAATGAGGCAGAGGGTGTTAAAGTTCTTTATAAGGGCTAAGCATGTAGCTCAGTGGTAGAGTGCCTATTCAGCATAACACACACACACACACACACACACACACACACACACACACACACACTGCTTGCTTCCTAGTTTTCAGAAGGCCATAATCTGACTGAGAGTTCTGGACAAAAAGGCATCTTCCAACTTATCTGTCCAACTTCTCAGGAAGTAGAGTCAAGGTTTCTTTGTGTAGCCCTGGCTGTCGTGGAACTCGCTCTGTTAGACCAGGCTAGCCTAGAACTCAGAGATCCTCCTGCCTCTGCCTTATAGATACGCGCTACCTAGTTTGCAGAGACATAGCTGTGTCTCCACTTGTCCTGTCCAAGACCACAGCCAGAGTGGTACAAACAAACAAGGCTTAGTAGCTCAGCAGACTGTGTGGCAGAGCATATTCAACTATGTGCAGGCCTTCCCCCTACTGGATGCTGAAGATACCACCAACCTTGTTGCACGGGCAGGGGCAGCTCTACCAACCTTGGCTTTTCTCAAGGCTGTCTCCTGCAGTCCCTTCAGTGCCTGGCCACTTTAGCTTTATTCAACCAATCCTCTCCTGCCAACCCCCTTCCCACGAGGGCTGATGAAAACAGGCCCAGAAGTAAGTGGCAATGATTTTAAAACATAGGAAAGAAGCCAGGAGGCAGTGATGGTGCACGGCTTTATTCCCAGCATTTGGGAGACAGAGGCAGGCAGACCTCTGTGAGTTCGATGCCAGCCTGGTCTACAGAGTGAGTTCCAGGATAGCCAAGGCTACACAGAGAAACCCTGTCTAGAAAAAGAAAGAAAGAAAGAAAGAAAGAAAGAAAGAAAGAAAGAAAGAGGGACTGTTAAATACTCAGTGCCTGAGGACTCCCAACCCGTCCCAAGTTTTTCACTGAAGTGGGTACAGCTGAGAGAGTGTCCCAGCAGCACTCAGCCCTGTTCCCCGGGTGTACTGTTAAAAGCCTACCTTCTGTCTCTGTGTGCCACCCGGGACGCATACAGAATCCTGATCTAGAATTTGAACTCAGTCTAAGACTACTGCAGCTGCCTGCAGCAGCCCCAAACCCCAGCCAGGCCCGCTCTTCCCTTTGCCTAGGTGGTAAGGGTAGTCTGAGTGAGGGCCACCCAGAGTGGGGTCAGTCCCTGCCAAGCTCTGCAGAACTCCCGAGTTCCCTCCTCCTCGGGACTGCCCAGCCCCCTCTCTTTTCGGGGAGCTGCTCGGGGTACCTGAGTGCGCGGGCACAGTGCAACTTCGAGTTCTGCCAAGGCCGAGAGAGTAGCGTCCGGGGCCCCTGCGCCCCCAGGCTCGCGATACACAACCTCCCAAGGCGCAGCATCCCGAGGTAGACAGCCATGGCTCGTTTCCGCCGCAGATCACGGCCGGGAGTAAACTTTGAAAGTGAACAAGGCGGGGGCTAAAGAAGAAGAAGCGGACTGGGAGGCGGGAGGGTCGCTCTGCCTATGGGGTGAGAAGGACTGGTCCCCGCGGGGCGGGGCGGGGCGAGGCGGGGCGAGGAGAGGCCGGGAAGTGGCGACTCTCGAGTCCTGGGCCACCTTCGCGTGGGAACTACAACCCTCTAAGCTCGCCCTCGAAGAATCGCCCCTATTTTTCTTTGTTTTTGTTTTCGGGGGATCCCAAGACTCTCTCTGCAGCACAATACAGGGCCATCCCCCGGCTAAGATTGGAGGGCCGAGGAGTTTCATAAACGGGAAAACAATCTGAAGTCTATAATGGGCCAGACAGCAAGTTCAGGGCTAGTTGGTTCCAGTGCCCAGTAGATCGTGGGTCACGTGGGAACTTCCCGGGTGGTGGTGAGCTACAGGCCAAAGGAACCCAGCCCGGAGCTCCCGTGAGGCCTGCGGGCTGGAACAGAAAGCCTCTGGGAAGAGAGGCTGTCCGGCCCCAACCGGTCTGATGGGTGAGCCCCTCTGTACTCTGGGACTGGGGTGGGGTGGGGGGGTACTAATGCGGCCCAACGCCAGGAATCAGCTATAATTCGACCCCGCATCTCTCGTGGCATCCTTCCTTCTCTATACCGAGTCACTCCGAGTAGAGTGCCCAGTAGACAAGATCTGGTGGCATCAGGGACTGAAGTCTCTTGTTTCCTATCCTATCCTCTTTTCTGCCCTAGCTGAGGCTTGAAACATATTCCTCAGCTGCTCCCCTAGGCTCCAAAGGACTTTGTGAGAGACTCAAAACCCTGTGCTTCTGGGATATAATCTTTTTTTTTTTTTTTTTTAAGATTTTACTTATTTATTATGTATTCAACATTTTGCTTCCATGTATATCTGCACACCAGAAGAGGGCACCAGATCTCATTACAGATGGTTGTGAGCGACCATGTGGCTGCTGGGAATTGAACTCAGGTCCTCTGGAAGAGCATTCAATGCTCTTAACCTCTGAGCCATCTCTCCAGCCCTCTGGGATATATTCTAACAAGTAACCCAAGAAGGATGGGAGAGAAGACCTAGAAGAAATGACTGTTCATTTCTGGGTTTGGGCACTGGGTTAACCAAAGACTGGCACACAACCCCTACACCTTCTAGTCAGTACCATGTTGTCCTGAACGATCATTACTTCAAAGGAAGAAAAGAAAAGTCCTGGCAGGGTGGCTTCCCCTCTCCTGACTTGGAAATGAAGAAAATCAGGCCAGGAGGAGGGGTTGGCTGAGAGCAGAGGTTGGCCTAGTGAACCTTTGCCTTTATCTGGGAATCCTGGTTCAACTGTCATGAGTAATCCAGCTGCTCCTTCTCTTTGATCTCCAGAGTGACCTCAGATCTCCCTGGCAAATTTGGGGAAGAATCTGTGTTCCTATGGAGAACCAGTCAAGACAGAGACTTTGAAGAGTTGGGCTTGAGAGGGCATGCCCTCCAAATTATACACTTGCTTCCAGAGGCCAGGCCCAAGGAATGAGGCGTGCTAATATTCCAAGTTTTGGATCCAAGCCCTTCCTGGAAGGCCTGGTGGATGACCTGGAACCAATCACTGACCTCTTCTGGATAAATAATTGCACTGGCAAAGTGAAGGGTACATTCTGGTCCTTAGGACCCTTTCACTTCCTGACTAGTCCCTGGGGGGGGGGGGTCAGCGGCAGTAAGGAGACGTGTTCTCTATCATTCTGCCTGTGCTATGAGCTAGCCTGCAGAAGCCTTTATTCCCTTCCCCTTGCTAATATCCCTTCCTTCTCTGCTTCAAAAATGGACTCATAGACAAGCATGGTGTCACCACCTGTGATCCCAGCCAGGGAGATAGAGGCAGGAGGATCAGGAACTCAAGGCCATCTTCAGCTACACAGAGGGAGTCTGAGGTCAGCCTGAGGCAAAGAAAAGGGGGTGGAGCAGGGGCTCATAATGTCAACATCAGGGGACATGCAAGAGTTCTCATGAAAGAGTAAGATGTCCACACATCAGTAACCACTGCTATGGCAAGACAGGAGGCAGAGACAGGAGACTCCCCCAAAAGCTCAGCCAGTTAGCCTGGAGTATGGATGGCAATGCCAGAACAAGACCCCACCCTACAAAGTGGAAAGTAAGGACCAACTCCTGAAAGTTGCCCTCTGATTGCCACATGAGTGCAAATGCCCATACTCACAAATCAAACACACACACACACACACACACACACACACACACACACACTAAAAAGTAAGTAGTTCAACTGAAGGCAAGAATGGTAGTTCATATCTATAGTCCTAACACTAAGGTTCCTCACAGAATTACTCACAATAGCAAAGGTGGGAGTTTCTAAAATGTGAAATAGCCATATGCTATTTTATTATTCATATGCTATTTGGTCATATGCAATATTGCTCAGCCTTAAAACAAAAGGACAGGCTGGGTGGGCATAATGGCGCACGCTTTTAATCCTAGCACTCAGGAGGCAGAGGCAGGAGGATCTCTGTGAGTTCCAGGCCAGCTCAGTCTACATAGAAAAGAAAGGACATTCTGACACATTCTAAAGTGCAGGTGAACCCTGAAGAAATGCCAGCTGAAATAAGGCAGACATAAAAGGAGAAATAGTGTATGAAAGCCGAAGATGGGGACCCCCATCACCCATCAGGGTTACCTACTTAAAGACATGAAGATCAAATCCCAGGAGGAAATCCACCTGCTCTTTTTGCCCATCAAGGAGTCTGAGGCTATGGATGGTTTCCTGGTTCTGTCCCTTAAGAATGAGCTTCTAAAGATCATACCACTACAGAAATGGACTTCGACTGTCTAGCTTTTGACACCATCATGGACTACAAAAGTCACATTGTTCCCATGCAAAGGTTACAGGTTGCTGTTGTGGAATACTAGTTTAAGATGAGTCACATTAGTTTGTGCTGTGGAATAATTGTTTAATGATGCAAAGATCTGTCGCATTCTTTTATTTTGCATTTGTTTAACTCTGTAAAGCTGTGTTATATTGCCTGCCTAAAACACCCGATTGGTCTAATAAAGAGATGAATGGTCAATAGCCAGGCAGGAAAGGAATAGGAGGGACTGCCAGGCAGAGAGAAAGAATAGGAGGAGAAATCTAAGCTCCAGAGAAGAGGATTGAGAAAAAGAGGAGAGGAGGACACCAGGGGTCACCTACACAGACACCAAGCTAGCTAGGGAGTAAAAAGGAAAGAAAGATACATAGAATAAAAAAAGTAAAAAGCCCAGAGGCAAAACATAGCTAAAGAGAAGTGGGAAGGGCTGGGCATTCATAAGTAAGAATAAGTCTCTGTGTATTTATTTGGGAGTAGGGTGGTGGGTCCCCAAAAAGTTAAAACAAACAAACAAACAAAAAAACACTACAGGCTCTGTGGCTCCGTGTTGGTGTGCCTCACCCCTGCTCCAGCAGTGAGGTACTGGCATTGTCATTGTCCCTGTGCCCAACCAATCAAGAAGCTGCTGCTGGCTGGTATTGATAAAAGCCACACATTAGCCAGGGCTGCACTGTCACTTTGAGCAACTTCACCAAGGCCATCTTTGATGCTGTCTCCAAGAGTGACAGCTCTCTGACCTCTGGAAAGAGACCATGTTCACCAAGTTTCCATATCCATAATTCACCTACCATGTGTGGAAACCCACACCAGAGTGTAGAGGACCCAGGCTTCAGTTGTGGCCACCATGTAGGATGTCTGTCTGTCTGTCTGTCTGTCTGTCTGTCTGTCTGTCTATCTATCTATCATCTATTGCTTGGTTTTTCGAGATAGGGTTTCTCTGTGTAGCCCTGGCTATTCTGGAACTTACTCTTTAGACTAGGCTGGACTCAAACTCACAGAGATTTCCCCTGCCTCTGCCCCCCAAGTACTGGGATTAAAGGCACACACCACCACTGCCTGGCCCACATAGGATTTTTTTAAATTCCTCTTTCATTAAATACATTCCAACCCCAGCCTCCCATCCCTCCACTATCCCCAAATCCACCTCTCCTCTGTTTCCCTTCAGAAAAGAGCAAGCCTCCTAAGGATCTCAAACAAACAGGGCTTAAAAAGATGCAATAAGACTGGAAATCTTCCTATCAGGGCTGGACAAGTCAACCCAGTAGGAGGAAAAGAGTCTCTGTGAGCCCCTATGAGCTATGCTTAGTTGATTCTTTGGGCCATGTTCTAGTATTCTCCATCCCTCTGGCTCCTACAATCCTTTCTCTCCATCTTTTGTGGGGTTCCCCAAGCTCTTCCTATGTTTGGCTGTGTATCTCTGCCTTTGCTCCCATCAGCTGCTGGAGGAAGCCTCTCTGATGATCCAATCTATTAGTGTAGCACAATACCATTAGCAATCATTTTATTGATTTTTTTTTTTTTGCCGGTCATGTATGGTCTCTGTGCCACCCAGCTTCCAGCCACTCCCACAAACTCTGAACCACCATTGTCCCAGCACAGTTTCCAGGCAGGATAAGGTTGTGGAACAAAGGTTTTATGGCTGAGTTGTTGTCCCAGTTCCACCACTGGAAGCCTTGCCAGGTTACAGAAGATGGCTAGTTCAGGCTCTGTAGCCTTCATTACCACGAGTCCTCCCTAGGGTCACCCTCACAGGTTCCAGGAAATTTCCACTTCGCTAGTTTTCCACATCACCCCTCAAATGCCCCCCCCCCAACTTCTCTCCCTGTACTCTCTCCCTCTGGCTCTCTCTCCTCCACCTGATCTCTCTCTTCCCTATTTCCCCTCCCCAAGGAGACCCATTCATCCCCCTAGAGTCCTCCTTGATACTTAGCCTCTCTGGGTCTGTGGATTGTAGAGTGATTATCCTTTACTTGACAGCTACTATCCATTTAAACCCACACCAGAGACTTTTTGCAGAGAACCCAGGCTCCAGCTGTAGCTACCGTACTGGATTAAAAACAAACAAACAAACAAAAAAATCCAAACGAACAGTTTTTTGAGGCAGGGTTTCTCTGTGTAGGCCTGTCCGGGAACTGACTCGTTAGACCAGGCTGGCCTCAAATTCACAGAGATCCACCTGCCTCTGTCTC